AAGATACGTGCGAGGGACTTACCAGTTGTTTGTTGTTGATGCCATACGCCAGCTGGACGCTACCTCCACCGAGGTCGATAACGGCACTTGGAAGGCCGGCATATCGATAGGCAAAGTCAACCGTCATCCACTGGAACCTCGCCTCGTCGATACCATCCATAATGTACACGTCATCATCAGATCTCAAAACGAAAGGGGACTCCCTCATGATTTCTCGGGTAGCCTGAGCGAGGAGCGGTACTGGACGCGCAATGTAGAGAGCGATTTTCCTGTGACCACTAAATTTTCTTACTGCAACCTCATATCGACCTGAACCTATAGCAACTATACTTATATAATATACACAAAGATACTATCAGAGTAACTGTTGTGTATTGACTGTGCGAACAGCGATATATTGTTTGAAAATGTCGCCGCTAAAATTCTCTACGGAGAAAAATTCGCACATCTTCCGAAAAACGATTTATCCGAACCCTCATATGAGTGAAATATATCCACCACCACCATTGCCGATGACTGACCTCGAGGAGCTTCTCCGCCTTCTCAGCAGGGAGCATCCTGAGACCTGCAGTGGCGCTCACCACGACCTGTGCTCCTCTGGCGTCCGGAACAGCAGCTATCGCCTCGTCTACAAGCCATCGCAGACCCTTCCTAAAGAGAAATCAAATGCAAGTGAGAGGATTCGATCCCACGACCACCCGATCAACAAAACCGACAACTAACCAACTGAACTATTTACCTTCTTACTTGCAACTTTCAGGATCATCCGCGAAATCCGACAGGCCACCATCCACCTTCTGGAAGAACGTCAAAGCATCTACTGATACCGGATCTAATTTCACATCCTCCCCAATCTTCTCGAATTTGAAAACTTGCACTCGAGAGCCAGTCGACCCCGCGTCAAAAACGACCTTGTAAGTGATAGGCCCATGCCTCGCCAAAAATGCATTCTGTTGCGGTATCATCCTCGACATCACCACAACAAAGCCATAAATGATACCAACAGCTGTGAGCACAGCAACAATCGTCCAAACATGCTTAATAAACCAACTTTCGATCTTCCACAGTTGGGCCTTCCAAGGGCTCATCGGAGCTTCCCTCGTAGCTCTCCGCACAGTGCCGCTCTCCATCGCTTGCTCCTCTTCATTCAAGTCATCGTTCCATTTCAAAGCCATCGTTTCTAAAGATCTATCGGGCGTGCGGCTACCGGACGACTCTGGCGGCTGATCTAATCGGCGTTTCACTGACGGTGCTATTGATGGTGATAATGGGAGATCTCTCAGCTGTAGAGAGGAGCCAGTGTCCATGCAAGAGGAGGAGAGGAAACAAGCAGTTTAAACTCACGTATGAGGGAAACTTATCAACTGTATTATATCTACTATGAAAATTACCATAAAATGAGTTATTAAAAGCTTTAATGACTTACTTAATATAAAAATTTATATACTAGGCCTTCTCGGAGAAGGGCCGGAGCTCGCGCCGGTCGGGCACTGGTTTTTCGGGTATCGGGCTGTCGGTTTTGGTCAAGAACAGTTCTTCCATTTCTGGTGTGAAGATGCTGGCAAATTCACATAAAATGAGTCATTAAAAATTACAATGACTTATTCAATATGAAAATTAATATATTTTTTCAATTTTATTTTTCAATTCACTTAGAAAACAAATTTACATATTTCCCTCCATAATTCGAAGTCTACACGTATCACATAAGCCACATTTCCAAACCCCAGTGAGATACAACATAGATTCCCCTCACTGCTCAACTCAACCTACTCCCTCTGCTGAACATCAATAACATGTGCTTAACAACACCAAGTGATAACACCGAGCTGTCACACCGTATAAGGCCCTCGGCGAGCTTCCCGCACTAAAAATGTTTCCGGGGTCCAACTCGTAGTCAACGCTGAGAGGTTACTCGGCCTGAACAGACCAAAGCTGACAAACTCCCTTTTCATCAAGTCACTCACCGTCCTCCAAAAGTGCATCTAAATCTATTCAACGACTTCTTTGATTTCACCGATAAGTCGTATGTCCCCGGACCGGGAAAGGGGACGGCCAGTACTCCACCACCACTGAAATTTATAATTATAGTCCCACAGATGCACTGTCGCATTCTGACTCAATTCTTTCGACTACTTCATTTTCTCTCAGTTCCATCACGTCGTTCACTATAAACCCAGTCTACTTAGGATATTTCCTACAACTACACCTACTGCACATCTAATTTACACTATAATTCTTCCTTTTGTAGGCGGAGCGAAGATTCTTTATTACTTTCCAACATCAGTTATCGAGCCCTTCTCATTTCGAGGCATCACAGACCACTTAGGAGGTCTCGAGTAAACTGGATGACCCTTCTTTCCTGACCAAACAACAGTGTTAAAGCTCTCATTATGTCTACTGTCCCTACGAAATATCGAATTGAAATCCAAAGGCTCTTCCCGAGTGGCGTCTTTTCCGCACCCTTTAAGGTGGCGGTAACCTCCAAAACTGGTAAACCTGCCAAGCAACGTTCACATGTTCAGCCACATTGTTGGTGACAATATGAAAATTCCGAGAATTTTTTTTTGGAAATTCGTGCTGTTTTCCGGACACTTAACCGAGGCCATTCATATATGAACTCCTATAATTAGCTCCTGACCTCAGCTGAGGAGAACAACAACATATATTCCTCCAACACTGTCACTACCTCTTAGAAACTCCACCGAAGTGCTTCGCTCGATTCCCCAACACTATTTTGCCAGTCCTCGACAAATCGGCCAATTTCAGAGAGGCCGGATCTGGTCCCGAGGCCACTCGTTGCGACATCGTTGTTTGCACCCACGTTGGTACCTAAAAATAACTTTTTCAGATAATTTATTTTTTAATATTCTTGAAATATGCACATGGCCAACTGCGTGTGTATAAGGAAATTCTGAGGAAATTTCGGGAAATTCTATTTAATTTCTGTACACTTCTACCCAAATTCTAAAAAAATGTTCGGCAGAATTTTCCAAAAATTTCCAATACACGTCGTCAAACAAGTGCATATTTTCCACGTTACGCACAGCAAAGTGGTTATTATTACATCTCTGGGAAGATGCTCAGGACGGCCGAAAAGACTCCAATAAGGAGGTCGATTCTTGATGCTCTCCACTGCTTTCGTTGATTGAATATCGTATTGGCCAGGACCTAAGCCAGTGTGAAATTTAT